ACAGCTAGTGGTGTTCTGTTATTTTCTTTGTTGGGCCTGCCTCCCTTGCTAGGCTTCAGATAGAGAGGGGCACCGTCCATTTAGTCCACCCAATTCCTTCTTTGGGGGCTGCAAGGTGCGATCACACCAGTATCCCTAATCCAGTCTGGGGATGTCTTCTGAAGGGGATATCTGGGCCAAAGCCTTTTACTCCTTGGGCACACTTGTTCCCCGTTGTAGAGTTACCTACCATATGTTCGTATTTTCACAGACATGTCCGGCTTTTTGGGGTTTTAAATGGCCATCCGGAAGGAATTTGTAAAACTCTCAAAAGGTCCGGGATTTCCCTCCCAATGCAGAAGGAGGGAGTGGAGGGAGTGGATGGGGGTGGGGCGGGGCTACCCCCCGTGGAGTGTCCTCTTTTTTGAATGTTAAAATATGTCATCCCTACCGTTCACAGTGAGCTCTCCATTCACAGCAAGCTGCAGCATGAGGTCTCAGCTACCTCACTCCCTCTCCCACCCTTTCTTGTTGATAGTGGCCAAGGGAATGCTGGGAAATGTAGTTCTTTCCCTGCTCCAGGGCTGGCTCTATAGGCAGGGAGCTAACCAAGGAACTACAGCTCCCAGGGCTCGCTGTTGGTTCTCAGCTCCCATGCTGGATCCCTGCAGCCCCTGGAAATGTGCCGCCCCAAGCACCTGCTCGCTTTGCTGGTGCCTAGAGCCGGCCCTGGTAGTGGCCAATCAGTCACCATCCCTGGGGACAGATGGGTGGCGACCCTTCTTGATGAAATAGGGGCAGGGCCACAGAAGAAAGCTAAGCTCTCCCCGATGTTTATCCATAATGCTTCTGCTTCTCACAGAAATCCTTGTGGGTAAAATCCCCTTCGCCTGGACATCAGCAAACAAGTCAATCAGTGGGGAGAGTCAAGAGCGCTCACGGATCCTTCCCTTGGGCCATGTTCCAGCAGCTCTGTCTCAGACTCCCCTTCTCTCTCTTTCCCGTGACAGCGTTTTGCTATTTCCCGCTACACCCCTTCCCCTCGGTCGTTATTTGCATAAAGGCAGCACCCAGCGCGCTGCACACACACTGCCATAAAGAGCTTCTGGTCTAAATAGACAAGAGGTGGGAAAGAAAACGGAGGCAGGGAAGTGCCCAAGGACACCCAGCAGTAACAGAGCTGGGACAGGAACCCAAGTCTCCTGAACCCCAGACTCATACCCAACCCACTAGACCTGTCTCTTTCAGCTTCCTTTCTCCCTAGAAGGCCAAGAATGTGTCTCCCCTGTCTCACCATGCAGATTTTACCCTTTGCTCCCCCTCACTGAGAGGAGCTTTGTGTCTCCTGGCTCATGACCGGGAGTGCATCAGGGCTGGAAAAAATCCCTTGTTCCTTTGGCAGGAAACTCAACTTTTGCTCCATTGTTAAACCTCTTGGAAGCCAACAGGCCTACGCCACGCCTGTGAGGGGGGTTGTATGTGCCAGCCTCTAGCGAAGGCCGAGAGCCACGGAAGAAGGAGAGAGCAAGTTTGTCCTGGTCTAGTGGCTGGTTCCCATAAGTAGCTAACAGCCTGCTATGATGGAGTTACTCCCTTAGCTCCAGCAGCTGAGCTGTGTACTTTCAGCAGACAGGGCCTGGGTTTGATTCCTGCGGATGACCCAAGCTGGTTCCTTTGTGATGCCAACTCCTTTCCCAGTCTTAGCAATGATGAGGGTTAGGATAATGGGGTTCCAGAAACTAATGGGGTTTTTGAGCCCAAGCTGTATTAAAGGTTGATCCAACACAGAGTCCTCGGCTCCGTCTCAGCCCAGTTTGCCTTGCAAAGACCTGACCTGCCCCCACCTCAAGGCTCTGCTATGAAAGAGCATCTTGGGTTTCTCAGTCTTAGGTTTTGCCTCTTCCGAGGCTGAGCTGCTCCCGGGGCAGACTGACCCCTGTAAGAACCAACCGGCTGCATCCTGCCAAGTGCTGCCTCCTCCGCCCCTCGACCCTGCGACACTAGCGGGTTCTCCTGACAGCACCAAGGCGGCTCCGCGTTTCCAGAACCTGCTTTATTCCGGAAACGACGTACAATCGGGTTCTGCCCCCGACGGTTTCCAAGAGTCCATGTGGGATGGGAACGGAGCTTCCAGCGTCCTTATCCATCCCGTCCTGGTGCGCTTGGGATGTTTATCCCTGTCAGTGTGGAGCTGGAAAAGGCTCTGCTACCAGCCCTGAGGGAGGGGGCACATTGGGGGCGTGGCCGGGGTGCCCTGCGCTGGGGCTATTCCCTGCTCCCCAGCCCCATAGGGGGCAGAGCGCACTGTGCTGTACGTGGACCATCCACGAGGCCCCTTCCCAGGCTCGGGGGCACTAGCAGCCTGGATTCTGTGTGCTGGGGACAGCGAGGGCCCCACCCGTCTCCCCGGCGCCTCCCTGCAAACCTAGGGGATTATTCCCAATCCAAACACCGAGGCAGGGGAGATCCTGGCCCCCACGCGCTGGGGCAGCAGTTCAGGGTCATGGCTGATCACAGCCCCGGTGAGTAGATTGGGTGCCTTTGCTGCAGCCGGCAACAGCCTCTGGTGCAGCACCAGGCCTGGAATGAGCCCAGGAGTGTGGGGGACTGAGCAAGGTGCGGTGGGGGCCAGGGGAGAGCTCACCCTGGCAGGTGTTCTCACTCGCGTGTGTGAACTTGGCTTTCCCAGAGCTGGACTCGTAGCCGTCGATGCAGGTGCAGGAGTAACTCCCATTCACGTTGTTGCAGTTTGCGTGGGGTCCACAGTCTGCCGGTCTTGGGCCCTGACACTCGTCAATATCTGCAGCACAAGAGGGGATGTTCTGTACAGTCCTGGCAGGGAGACGTTCCTGTATCACCCCCCAGCCCCCCGCACCAAGCCGGGTGACAGGACCCAGGCGACCGGGCTCCTGGCAGCTTAACAATCACAGGCCTGATTCTCAGCTACGCTCAGGCGGCACTAGGCTGCTCTGGCAGCGGAACGGCCCCTTGAGAATTCCCCACCCTGCACAAGGGGCCACCCCAGCTGGTGTGGAGCTGTCGGGGTCCTGCCCCCACCCTGCTCCTAGCCCCTGATGTAGGGGCCGAGGCCGGGGTGCCTAGCACTGCAGCTATTCCCTGCCCCCCCAGGGCCCATGGGGGAGGATCGGGGTGTGGCTGGGGTACACTGTGCTGTAGCTAGTCTCTCCTCCCCAGGGCCCATAGGGGGCAGAGCGCACTGTGCTATTTCCATGGCCCAGACACGAGGCCCCTGCCCAGCTCAGGGGGACACTAGCAGCTCAGATGCTGGGTGCTGGGGCCAGCGACTGTCCCCTCCCCTCTCCCCAGCACATCTCTGCAGCACAAGGAGTTTGCTCCGTGGGTCTGTTTATTCCCCATCCAAGCGCCAGGCACAGGGTGAGCTCGGCCCCATGCTCTGCGGGAGCAGGCGAGGGCAGGGCCAATCAGAGGGGGGGGCCAGGAGGCCATTTGGCCTGGACTACAAGCTCATAGGAGGCCTCAAATTTAGACACTTGTTAATTTTTTGGCATTTGATAAGTTTTGCAACTTGTTTTTATGCGCGTCCCCATCGGACCAAAATGTGACCCACGCGCTCAGCTTAAAACTGCAAATTTAAGCAAATAAGAGATGTGATTTGGTAAAAGACATCATTTTTTTTGTTAACTGATATAGATTTTGTCATATTAAAGAGTTAAAAGTATTGTCAGTTTGCCTGCATCAGTGGCTTCAGGTGAATGAACCTTCAACGTGTTGAAGCAGGTAAAGGACTATCACCGTTCAACTACGGGACAGGAGCGTTTGAATGGGTTCCCCATGCTTAATATCAACTGTGACATTGCACGAAAGTTAGACCTTTCCTCAATAATTATTACATTTGCACAGAAAAAGGCTAGAAAAGCATTTGTTAATTTCAAAAATATTCCAATTATGTCTCACTCTTTTTTTGGTGCCTTATTTTGTTTTCATGTGTCGTCATTTTGTATGTTTATTATGCGTAGGGGCCTCAAAAGCTGGAAGTGGCCTGCGCCTCTCTGGACCTCTGAGAGGGCCTGGGTGAGGGTCATGTCTCATCACAGCCTCGCTGAGGCCTCGGGCCACTGCCAAAGCCGGCAGCAGCCCAGGTGCGGCCCCTCGCTGGGAGTGGGCACGTGGGGTGGGGGTCTCAGCAAGTGGGGGCCAGGGGAGAGCTCACCCTGGCAGGTGTCCCCACTTGTGAGTGAAGTTGGCTTTCCCAGAGCTGGGCTTGTAGCCATCGATGCAGGTGCAGGAGTAATTCCCAGGCACATTGGTGCACTTTGCGTGGGGTCCGCAGTCTGCCGGGCTCAGGCCCTGACACTCGTCAATATCTGCAGCACAAGAGGGGATGTTCTGTACAGTCCTGGCAGGGAGACGTTCCTGTATCACCCACCTGTGCTGAGCTGGGTTATGGGACCCAGGTGACCGGGCCCTGGGAGCTTAACAATCTCAGGCCTGATTCTCAGCTACGCTCAGGCCACACTTGGCTGCTCTGGCAGCGGAACGGCCACTCGAGAATATGGTTATTGAAAACTGTGTTAGCATCACAAGTTCTCACTTTATATCTGCAAGGGGCTTTCCTGGACCGGTTTGTGGGCTAGGGGACTCGGGTGAGAAGCATGTGATCTGGGGTTTTCAGCCGTGTGGCTTTGCAAAGAGCCAGCCTAGAGCAAAGTGGGGTTAGTTGTGCCCATCTGCCTTCAGGAGCAGCCTGCTTTGTCTCTCTCTGTTTGGGAACCTCGTGTGCTGGGGTTCTGGAGTCTAAGAAATAACCCTGTGTTGAGCTGCAGCCCGCCAGCGAGAGATTGTGACGCTTTGTTTCTAACTGTGTGTGTGTGCCGTGAACATAACAGAGGGAAGGGGACCTTCAGACCCCAGAACAGCCACTGTGGCCTCTATGGGCCAAGTCCCAATGGGGCCAAGATTTGGGGAGATGTAGGAGTCCATGTGTGAAGCTGAGTTGCCCAAGGGGTGGGAACACTGGGACTTGGCAGAAATCCCCCTCAGGTTCCAATCACAGAGGAACACAGTCTAGGCATTGCCAGCCTGGGTCAGCCCCAGGGCCCATCGACCCCGGTATCCCGTCTGCGACGGGTGCTACAGAGGAAGGTGTAAGAGTCCCGCAGCAGCAGCCGGGGGATAATCTGCCCCCGTGAAGGTCTCCTCCTGGTCTCTAATCGTCGGAGGGCGGCTGAAGCCCTGAAGTGGGAGCTTTTCCCTCCCTCCCAGAATTACTGTCCATTAACTAGCACAGCTCCAGGCATTGTCATTACCCATAGAAACAGCCAGTCCCCCTTTAAAACTCGACACATTCACAGCCTCCAGGCCGCGGTAGCAGTGAGTTCCAGAGGCTACTGCTGCCCCGGGTGGAGGAGTATTTCCCTGTATCTGCTCTGAATTTGCCCCTTTTCAATTCAATTCAATCCACACACTGCCCCTGGCTCATTGCGCTTTCTAAAGCTCGTGATTTTCTAAGCGAATCTGATATTTTTTAGTGCCTGGGATTGTCGTCACGAGCTCAGCCATGCACTTGAGACCCACTGGAGCCGAGTTAAGTGCGTAGCTGGGCAGGGCTGGAGCTAAGCATGTGCTTTGCTGACTCGGGGGGCTCAGGGAGCACAGACAGGGACCAGCACAAAGCGATTTAGCAGCTGGCAGCTTCCAGCGTCCCCCGGTGGAGACACCAGCATGTGGGTATCCCCTGACAGGGGACTGGCCTTGGTACATGCGCCAGCTTCACCAGCGCAAAGGGGTCTCCAAATCCACTGCACTGCGAGCCCAGAGAGACCTCTCGGTCTGTGCCCTGGGCTAACTCCCTGCCCTGGGGAGCAACGCGGAGCTGGCCAGCCCGGGTGTCCCCCGCCATGCCGCTGGAAGCCAGGGTGTCTCAGGGAAGCCTGGGGCTGGGCTGGAATTGCCAGTCCCAGCACATGCCCCTCCCAGCGCTGCCCTGGGGGAGCGACATGGAGCTGGAGCAGAGAGAGCCTGGAGCAGGGGCCTGGTACAAGGCCTGAACCAAAGTCAGCAAAAGTGACGCTCTGAGCAAAAGTCTGGCCCTGTGGGACACTGAGCCAGAAAGGGTTAAACAACTTGCCAGCTAAATGACCCAACTTCTGCCTTTAAAGCCACACTAGAAAAGGAGCCGGGAGCTGTGTTTCTGGCTTCTGGGTGAGCAGCACGGTACCGGAGCAGCTGGTTTGTTGCTGGCTTGGTGAATCTAAGTATCAGAAATAACCAGCAGTTTGGGGGATTGTCAGCCCCACTCTGCAGTTTGCCCAGATGGAGCAATCTCAGTGTGGCCCCCCCAGGCACCAGTCACACCCTGACACAAAGCAGGGGCTTGTCTGCAAGTTCACCATCTGGTGCACGAACTCGGCCCCGGTATTGCCGGCATTGCTACAACCCAGTGACTGTGTAACCACATCCCAGCGTGAGATTCCCCTGCCTAGCACGATAAGATGGTTTGACGGGTGGGGAATGTTTTGTCTGAAGCAGCAGGAGAAAGGCACAAGGGGGGTAAGAAGCATGTTGTGAAACACACAAGTAGGTGGTTTGTCCCAGATGGTTTGTCTCAGTCTGTAACTATCAGGTCCATTGTCAGAGGCAGACGTGTAGCAGTGTCCCTGTATCATCTCTGGGCGCTGGCACCGGGCTGCATTGGCGATAAACCTGGCCAAGCGCCTTCGCCACTGATCCGACTCTGTGGGCTGTCGGGGCACTTCGATGGAGGGCTGCCGGGCTGGCGACCCGCCCAGAGCCGGGACAGCACACGGAGCCGACGAACGGCAACCCCATGTCCCCACCCCAGACTGCTGGAACTCGGGGTGCCCCAGGGAAGCCTGGGGCTGGGCTGGCTCCATGGGTCTGTTTCTAACCCCGAGGGTTTATTCCCTGTCCAAGCGCCGGGCACAGGGGTGAGTCTGGCCCCATGGTCTGCGGGAGCAGGCGAGAGTCACGTCTCATCACAGCCTCGCTGACAGCCTCGGGCCACTGCCAAAGCCGCAGCAGCCCGGTGCAGTGCCAGGCCTGGAACGAGCATTTGTGTGTGCGAGGGGGGGTCTCAGCAGGTAGGGACCAGGGGAGAGCTCACCCTGGCAGGTGTTCTCACTCGCGTGCGTGAAGTTGGCTTTCCCAGAGCTGGGCTCGTAGCCATCGCTGCAGGTGCAGGAGTAACTCCCAGCCACGTTCTTGCAGCCTGCTTTGCCTCCGCAGTCTGGCGGGCTCGGCCCCAGACACTCGTTAATATCTGTAATGAGAGAGGGGACGCTCTGTACAGTCCTGGCAGGGAGACGTTCCCTGTATCACCCCCCCAGCACCCCGCACTGAGCTGGGTGAGGGGACCCAGGCGACCGGGGCCCTGAGTGGTTAGTGATTAAGGGCCTGATTCTCAGTTACCCATTTCTGCTGCTGGAATGTCGGAAACAGCCCCCCCGAGCCTCCTGTCCCAGGTCCGGGGGGTTTGGCCCCACAAACACCCAGATCCCCCATGTGAGGGGAGGGGGGGGAGACGTCCCCCTGGGGCTCCAGGCTCCCTGTGTGTTGGGGGTGTGCGACAAGCTGCCTCTCCTCTGCCCCCTCCCTCCTTGTATACCTGTGGGCTGGGCGGGCTGGTGGGGGGGGGTAGCATAGCCAGGGCTGCCCCATTCTGCTCCCATGGGGCCCCTCTGCCCCAGGACACCCAGGGGCTGACTAGGGCCCAGGCTGGGGTTCAGACGGGTCAGTGTGATGGGCCCCCCCACCCTGTGCCCAATTCACAGAGCCCAACGCTCCTGGCTCCTGCTGCAGCCGCTCCTGCTGCTCACTCTGGAGGCCCCGGTTCGATCCCCAGGAGGGCGGCGCTCACCCGTGCTGCTGCCCCCCTCATTCCCCAGCCAGGCTGAGCCCCCCCAACAGGCCCTGCAGTCAGTGGAGTTGGCTGCTCCGGCCCTTAATGCCCTGCTCTGTCCCAGCCCCCCCAGGACAACATGGGAGCCCCGTTACCGTCACAGATCTCTGTTGGGTCGGTGAAGAAGATGGGGTGATTCTCCCTTGTCTGGTATCCATCCAGGCAGGTGCAGTGGGTGTTGTTCACACACTTGGCGTTTGCTGGGCATATCACATGGTTGTTACAGTCCTCAGTGGTACCTGCAGGGGCGGGAACAGCTGGGCAGGGTCAGCCAGTGCAGAGCGGCTCCCCCCGCCCCACACACACACAGTGGGACCGACTCCTTTCACACGCCCCATTCGCTGATTTTCGTCCCTGGGCACCTGGCAAACAGCTCCGACGCCATCCACCGCCTGGCAACAAGCTGCCCTCGGCTGCACAGGGGCCTTGGCTCCCCAGGGAGCCCCCGGCACAGACAGGCAGAGCCGCCGGAGCCGGGCGTCGGTTCAAGTGAAACGTTTTCGATCTGACCCAATATTTCTCTTTTTTGTTGCTGTCATCGTTACTCTCATTAGCGTCAATTTCAAACCGAAACCTCGCTTCCAACCAGAAAACAGGAATTTTTCATTTTGAAAATTATCCTCCCCTCCCGCCCCCTCAACACACATACACAATTTTTTCCCGAGTAAAACCAAACATTCCTCTGAACCGAATCGGGATTTTCTGGCAAAAAATGGGTCCTCGGGAAGTTCCTGCCTGGCTCTGCTCTGGATTGACTGAGAGCGGAGTCGGGCGCGAGGCTAGTTTGGCTCCTGAGCTGCCTCCCATGACCCAGACTGTGACCTGCCTATGGGGGCTCCTGGATCCTTTAGCTGCCCGGTGTCTGGGGCTCCGCTGGGATCCGTTCCTCTGGCCAGCGTGAGGGGAAGGATCCCAGTGCAGCTTAGCCGGCTGCAGGGTTGGGATGGGAGCAGACGGAGCAGGGTGGGAGCAGCACTGGGGACCCCAGTGGGTCAGTGGGAATTTGCCCAAATCCCATCTTGGGATTCGCAGCAGAGCTGGGCTCGAGGCGCAGAGTCCGGATCCCAAACACCCCCAGCTGGGCACATGGGTCCCAGGTTTCAGTGCAGCCCGATTTTAGAGGGACGGGGGCACCTACAAATGCCACTTCTAACGTCTGAGCCATCAGGGGTTTGATTTGGGCTGGTCAATAACACGGCCCTTGGCTACAAAGGGGATCTGCCCCTCACTCCAGCCCCCAGTGTAGAGCCGTGGGCCCCAGTGTCTATTCTCTGCTGGCCATGGGGCTGGGAAGGGAAGGGGAGGGCTACACAGGGGCCTTCTCCTCTCCCCTGCACGCACCCACCGTGCTCTATAAACCCACCCCAAGACGTCCATGCTAAGGGGCTGCTCCCGGCTCGCCAGCCCCCTGACTCTGCTCTCCTCCCACAAGGGAAAGGGACTGGAAGAGGGTGGAGGCTGGAGACCCCGGGAAGCCGGGAGCGCTGGGGAAGGTTAGCCAGGAGGAGTCAGCCTTACCTTGTGTGCCGTTATTCTGGGCCACGGTGCCCCCCAGGCACAGGGCGATGCAGAGCCCTGGAAGGCAGAGACAGGGTAAGGCACCATGCACAGATGGTAACCGCCACTCAGCTGCACACCCCCCCAGCCTCCCCCGTCCTGCCAATCCTGGGCCAATGGCCAGTCAGTGCCCTGCCAATGGTGGAATTAAAAATGCAGAAACCTGGTGATCTGGGAAATCAGACCCAGCTGGGATCCCTGGTAATATTTTTAACTGATTCCAGTTGGGAACTGGACTTTTGGCCAGAGCAAATGGGCCTTTTATTGTGTGTATTAGCAACAAAGACCAGGAGCCCGCATTGTCAGGGCCGGCTTTATACTTAGGGCGCCCCTAGATACAGGGGCTCGGGGGTCTCCCTGCTCTCCGGCTTGGAGCTCTGGGGGCCCTGCCACCTGGAGGCGGCCAGAAGCTGCAGGGTACCCCTGCTGCCTGGAAGCTCTTAACCGCCATGGGCGCCAGGAGACACCCACCACTTTTAGGTGCCGCCCAGCACCCCTCCGCCCACTGCCCAGAGCTCCCCCATGATCTCCCCCAGAGACCCACTCTCCCAAGCCCTGCCCCCGGCCCCCAGGAGGTGACGCTGTCTGCTGGGTGGAGGGAGGAGCGCTCCAGCAGCAGGGCTGTGTGGGGCTGTCTCCCCCTCAGCCAGCCCTGCCCCCTGCTGGGATCTGAGAGCAGCAAAATATGAATTTTTAGATGCCCATAGAATGCCGGCGTCCCTAGGCATGTGCCTACTGTGCCTCATCAGAAATCTGGCCCTGCCCATTGTGCCAGGGGCTGCCCAGAGGTGACTGAGATCAGGGCCACGTCACGCTCGGTGCTGCACAGACACAGTGAGCCAGTCTGTGACCCAAAGGCTCATGGCAATAGGCAAAGGGAGGAGCATTCTCTCCACTTTACAGATGGGGAAACTGAGGCACGGTGAGGGGTAATGACTTACCCAAGGTCACCCAGTGCGACCATGCAATGGACAAAGCCACTTGGAAAGGAGAAGCACCGAGGGGGGATGGGGCGAAAAGACAACACAGGCTGCTGTTGATCTGCTTTTCACTCAGGTATCGGCCCAGATCTGCCCCCTCCTGCTGGTGTTTATTTATAGCCTGTTGCTCTGAGTCATTAACCACACGCGGGTGCGAAGAACCAGATGATGAAGGACCCGGGGCCGAGTGCCCGAGGTGATGTGAAAGGGGAAGCACAGAGGGCTGTGGAACCCCATTGTGCTTTCCTAGGAAGGGAGCTAGAAAGGGGGCGCAGCTTTGAAATTCAGCTCCGGTCGATCTCCCCCGGGGAGACTCCATGGAGGACGAGGGAGCTGGGGAAGTGACGGCATCACAGTTCCCGGGGAGCGAAGGCTGAGCCATTAATTCAGAGATTCTCAGGCCAGGAAGGGAGCAGGCTGATCCGGCCTCTCGCACTGCACGGGCCAGAGAATGACCCAGGGATTCCTGCATCCAGCCCGTAGCTGGGGATGGAGCTAGCGCAGAGCTTGAGAGAGGACAGCCCGTCTGTTCGACTCCACGTGACAGAGAAGCTGCCACGTCCCAGGGCAGTCGGTCCTGAGGGTGACGTCCCCTCCCAGTTCAAACACGAACCTTAGTCCTGCCCTGAGAGGGGACGTGTTGGCTATTCGGGCTCTTTAGAACAGGGGCAGCAGCAGGGCCTGTTCCCAGGCAGCCCCAGCCTTGCTGGGACACACCCCACCCCACCCGGGGCGAAGGGCTTTGGCCCCTTGGAGGCCTTTCTTCTGAGATGGTCCATTAGTGAAGGGGCAGAGCTAGGAATAGAACCCAGGAGTCCTGACGCCTACCCCTGCTCTAACCACTAGACCCTACTCCCCTCCCCTCCAAGCTGGGGATAGAACCCAGGAGTCCTGGCTCCCACTGCCCGCTCTAACCTCTAGACCCCACTCCCCTCATCCCAGAGCTGGGATGGAACCCAAGAGTCCTGATGGTCAACTTGGAAGCAGGGCCAAACTCATTTCATACGATGCCTGGTAGCAATTTTTAGTCTCCAGCACCGTGGGATAGACTGGAGCACAGGGGACCTGATCCCCAAGGCCAGTCCACCCCCCAGTACCTTTCCCCCGCCCCCATCGAACCTTTGTGTCCACAGAGCAGCACTGCACAGCCTCAGCCACTAGGGGGCACCACAGCCCCACACCAAGGCCCCAGCCCCAGCGTCCATGCTGGGCTGGGTCTGGTCCCTCAATTGTACCCCAGAGGCCGCATAGTGCCTTAGCAGAATAATTACTCACACGCCAGGAACATGCACCGCACACGCTAGTGCTCACATGCACACACACTCTGGTATGCACACAAACGTACAGATGTGTCCTCACGTTTGTGAATAAGTACAGATGTACATACCGGTGCACCCACACCCACGCATGGGCAAACACGTGTGCCGCACACTCATGCACGGGCACAGAGGTACAGACACGTACGTTCACACATAGTGGCAGCCTGCTGCAGCATCAGATGCAGGGACAAGGAGCCTCCAGGACCCTCCTGGCTGCTCAAACACCGGCCAGGCTGGAATGGAGGGAGAATCCTTTAAACCCTCCCGCTGGCGAACAGCTGCCGTGACTCTGCCCAGAGAGACGTGATCGTGGGACCCTGCCCCCTCTGCCCCACCCACCCCGGGGACATGGCCAGAATCTCCCATGCAGCCCTGCCCCCACCAGCCCCAGTGCAACCCTCTTAGCAGGGAATCCATCCTCCCTCCCCGAGTATCCCACAGCCAGAGCTCCCACCCCGCTCCCCACAGCGCCCCCTGCTGGGTCAGCCCAGGACTGCAATAATAACACTCCAGCACTTTAACCAGGGCTTGCTGGAGTCCCATGTAGCCGGCAGGAGCCGGGATATCGCGCCACCCCCAGGCTGCCCCCTCAGATGGCAATGGCCGGGCAGTGACCACTACCAGTGAGCACCGTCCCCTCCCACCGCGCCGGGAAGCCGTGAATCATGGAGCAACCTTGTCCAAGAGCTGACGCAGGCACTCGAGAGACCCAAACTCCCCCTCCCCCTGGATTCCCACCTGATCCCCCTCAACCCATGCAACCAACCTGCCCCGCTTTGAGCCTGGATTCCCACTTGAACCCCCAAACTGGCCCCCCTCCTCTCTGGGTCCCACATGGCCCCCTAGACCTCTGGACTCCCACCTACTCCCTGGGTCCAACCTGTCTCCCCTGCTCTCTAGGTCCGAACTGCCCCCTCCTGCGTCCGACAAGCCCCTACCAACCAGCTCTCTGGATCCAATACACCTACCCTGGATCTAGCATGTCTCTCCTCCCCTGACCCGATGGGGACTCATCCCATCTCCTGTGCTCCCAGGGTACGATCCAGTAGTCCCCTTCCAGGTCTGCCACCACCACAGACACACCCCGGCTCCTCTGACGTTTTAAGGCCCGATTCGGGGGAGGGGGGCGATGAGCCATGTTGACCCCCCCCGGGAATGTCTCAGGCTCATGTCTCAGCCGGAGGCGGGCGCACAGAACTGTCCCTTTGTCCGATCTGGCCCCTCCAGGCATTGGCCAGCAGCTGCCGCCCAATGGCCAAGACCATTTTCCCAGGGGGCAGAAGGAATGAAAAGGAACATTAATGGGGAGGTGGGGTGTGACGATGCGGTTCTGGCGGGACCCAACTAAGGCCTGGTCTACACTACGGGTTTAGGTCGACTTTAGCGGCATTAAACCGAATTAAGCCTGGACACATCCA